TCTCCAGCTGTAGGAAATGCTGGTGCTGTGGGGGCACAGCCCCACTACTCCAGGAGGGTGACCAGGCAGTCCCCATGCAGCTGCCCCTGCGTGTCCATCCCCCCAAACACCAACAGCAGATGCACAACCGTGTCTTCAGTGCTGCCCTGGCCCTGCTGGAGGGGCCCAGCACTGTCCCCCGCTGGCACAGGTGGCTCTGTCCCAGCTGTGGTGGCTCCCCTGTCCCCCTGGGTCCCAGCCTGCCAGGGAATGACACACATGGCATGGTCCAGCCTCCCAGCAGGCATGGGGGACTCAAACTGCAGGAGTGTCCACTGCTGCCTCCCTGCAGTGCAAAGACACAGTCACAGCTTCAGCTGTCACATATGGGGACAGTGACACTGTTCATTAGCACAGCCTCGAGCCTTTAGTCCTGCAGTGTGACCCCAGGGGAAGGCCCAGGGCCTGGGCAGGTACCATGCTCCCCAGCTGGCACTGGCTGAGAGCACCCCCCTACCTGTGTGATACTTGTAGGTGGTGTCCAGGGTCCCTTCTGGGCCTATTCCACCAAAAATGTACACGTGCTCCCTGAACGCTGCCGAGGAGTGGGATGCTCGTCCCCCGGGGACGTCACCAGTGGCCGGGACCTTCACCCACCTCATGTCACCTGGTGCAGGAAGAGAACACACCCATGGCTGTGCATTACACAAACCCCACCAGCTCTGCTGATTTAAACAGAGAGAGGGATATTTCAGGCACTTGAGAGCCAGTATTTTTGAAGAGCATGGTCCCCCAAAGTCCAAGCACATCCCACAAGGTACCCACACTCACTTGTGTCGATGCAGAACAGGTCGTTGTAAAAAACATCTCCAGCCAAACCCCCGTGGATGAAGAGCTTGGTCCCAACTGCCACCACGGCGTGGCCATGGCGAGGGGAGGGGGGGTCACCATGAGTGTCTGGCTGGGACCAGGTCAGGGTGGCTAAAAACGTGAGCACAGATGCATCAGGAAGGAAACTCTGGAAGCTCCACAGACCAGAGACCCCAAAGCCCCACCAAGGCTTCCCGAGGAAGTGCCTGGAGCAGCGTCTGAACTCCCAGCGCCTGAAGCGGGCCCGAGTCCGTCAGCAGAGGGAGCAGCCGCCCGGTGAGGCTCAGACCCCGGCGGGGCCCAGCACCGCCACAGCTCTGCC